CTAGTGATTTCCCAATCTGCTTGGGGTTGGGAGGGGAGGCTGAATTGCACAACGAGGCCCACAGGGCGCCATGAGGACAGCGGGCCAGGACCTCTTAGGTCTCATCCTCTTCGTCCCCTTCCGGATGGACTGCAGTGCTTAGTCCCTCCATCTGGGCACAGTCAAGCAGCTGTCCCTCCCAGCCTTGGGATGCTGTGGCTCTGTTGACTCATCTAAAAAATGTCAACCCCCCGGAGGGGGGGCTCAGGAGAGAAAGGGTGGGGGCCACAGTCTTAATGTCCCCATCCTGGCAGCCTCCTGCCACCCCCGACCCCAGGAAATCCCCCAGGGACAAGATGGATGACAATCCAAGCTCAAACCTGGCTCTGGGCCACCACTCCAGAACAGGAAGAGGAAGTTCTCAGTCCCGAGGGGCATCCCCTGAGTGCACTCCTCTGCCCCCACTCCGCTGTCCTTCCAGACCCTCAAAGATCTGTGCCCAGGCTGGTGGGAGGAGAGGGGACCCGTAGGGTCAAACAAAAGAGGGGAGGAGCAGAGGCTCAGGCACAAAGCAAAAGGGAAGCTGGTGCCCAGCTGGGAAATTCCTAAATGACACTTTCCAGAGGGCAGGAATTCCTAGCACATGAGATAGGGAAAGAAGTGAACCCCCCGCCCTGCCGTGGTGGCTCCCCTTCACAGCTCCGCCTATCCTCCCCCCAAGACAGACTCTGAGCAAAAGGTTTAGATAGGAAAACTCAGGCCCAGAAAGGAGTGTGCCCTGCTCAAGGCCATGCTGAGTGGGCAGTGCCAGGCCTGAGGATCAAAGTGGGGGAGGCAGGGGGTCTCCGAGGCCCCTCCCCCTCTGCCTGCCCCAGGAGCCTGTTAGGTCCCAGCCCTGGTCCCAGAACTGGAAAGTGCTTCCCTGGGTATGTGACACAGGCCAAGTCATACCACTCGCTGCGGGAGGGGCCCGGATGGCTTCTCCACCTTGACCACCCACAGTGCCCTTGTCAGTGCTTTCTCGCCAGCTCGGCCCCTTAGGGCGGGCGCCTCCTCCAGGCAGCCCTCCTCTCCTGCCTCCACGCGGTCGCGGTGATGCCCAGAATGGGAATGCTTTGCCCAGAGGGCGACCGGCGCGGCTGAGGGAGTCGGTGGGCGCTTCCCGGGCTGCGGCTCTGTGACGCGGGAAAGTGACCCTGAGCGCGGGGGAGGGGAGCCCTCCAGGCGCCTACAGAAGCCATCGACGGACAATGGGCCCAGCGCCCACGGATCCGTCCTCCTGGGGTGCCGTCCCTGCGCCCCACATAGCAGGTCCCGGTGAAGGTAGTGACCCCGCCCCGCACTCCGCTGCTGGGCAGTCCCGGCGCCGCCTGGACACCGCGGCACGGGGACCAGCCCCGCCACCCTGGACCTTGGCCTCCGCCCGCGGGTTTTCCGCGGTTGCGGCGGGCG